ATGCGTTTGAGATGCGTTTCCGCAGAGCTGCTCCCGAGCTGCTACAACTGCTCCCGACGAGCTGGATGGCGCCTTGCATGTCTGACACCGCCGTCGCCCGTCGGTGTATGAATGAGTGAGTGAATGTGAGGCAAAAATGTAAAGCGCTTTGGTGGCCACTGGGTCTGTGAAAGCGCTATATAAATGCAGTCCATTTACTCTGCTTTTTAAAAGTTTGTTGTTGCTAAGATAAAAAAAAAAAAACATTTTTAAAGAAGTTTCCCCCAATATCGATAAGCCCATTATTCTGAATGATATCTGCAGATAACAATCGTTTGATTTTCTTAAGAAAAAAAAACCCTGAAAACTCCCAACTAATGTTGCAGGGAACCCTCTAATTTTGTACATTGCTATAATATTAGATGTTAAAATTAACAACAGGGCCCAAAGTGTTATATTCAACTGCACTGATTGAACAATTACGAGACATTTCGGAAAAATGAACTGTATCTTTCAGCATACCTTTTGATGTTCTTGCGCTGCAGCGATCTGGCACTTCACATTTATGAGCGTCAAAATGCCATATATTGTTTGCATGTTGTGATAAAATGGACAGAAATTAAAGGCTGAGACTGTTTCTTATCAGAATGAAACTAAGAGCAAAGAGATTATTGGATGGGTGGTGTGCTACAAATAATGTCTGGTGTAGGGAAAACTGTGGACTTGGCAACCCTGGCTTGAACTACGGGTGAATCATAGGGTCAAGTAGAGCATGGCATGCTTTAACTTTTATTTAACTGTTGAAGAGTTATTTATTTCACTGTATGAGTCATTTTATTTCAAGGTAAAGATATATAACCTGAACTGGCTAGTTTTGTTGAGTGTCACGTTTGACTGCATGTTAGAAATATGACAAGTCAAATGAATGGTCCAAAAAATCAGGAAATCAAGAAACAAAAAGATAGCGAAGGCACTAAATGTTCCTAGAGACACCGTTGGCAGCATAGTTCGCAAGTTCAAAGTTAAAGGAACAGTGGTTACACTACCTGGACGGGACAGAAAGTAACTGGCTGCAACCAGATTTCTGAGAAGGCAGGTTCAGAAAAACCCTTGAGTGACTGCAAAAGACATGCAGCAAGACTTGGTGGCAACAGGCACTGAGGTTTCAGCTTGCACAGTATGGCGCGTACTAAACACATGCTAGAACTCCAAGACGTACACCACTTCTGACCCAAAAGCACAAGAAAAGTGGGCTCCAACTTGCTCAAAATCATATAAATAAGCCACAGAAGTTTCTGTTCTGTGGAGAGATGAAACAATATGGAACTTTTCGGCCATGTGGATCCTATGTATGTCTGGAGGAAGAAGAATGAAGAATATGCTGAAAAGAACACACTGTCTTCAGTTAAGCATGATGGTGGCTCATGATGCTCTGGAGCTGCTTTGCATCCTCTGGCACTGGAAACCTGCAGCATGTGGAAGGCAAGATGGATTAATTGAAGTATCAGGAAATCCTAGGAGAAAACGTGATGCCGTCAGCGAGGAAGCTTAAGCTTCCAACAGGAAAATGATCCCAAAAATCAAATCCCACCAAGGCTTGGGAGCAGAAGTAGTCCTGGGAGATTCTACAGTGGCCATCACAGTCACCTGACTCACAGTGTTGCCAGATTGGGCGGGTTCCCGCCCAATTGGGCGGTTTTGAATTTGATTGTGCGGGTAAAAAAGGCTTTGGGCGGGTGGTCAAAATTTGGGCTGGTTTGGGATCATTTCGGCGGTTTTCAAACATCTACATTTTAAAGTCTAATTGGTTAAAAAAAACGAAACTAAAGTGCATGTAGTCCATAAAATCAGTCATCATGACATTACTGTACACACACGCTCATGGCAGAGTCAGCTGGCGTTAGTGTTGACATCACCGACGAGCACGCACTTTTAGCCAATCAGCGATCCATCCGCAGGCAGACGCGATTGAGCGCGAGAAGTTGTAGCTGCTGTATATTCAAGTGATCGCTAAGGCAAAGTGACATATAGCCCTACTATACAAAAGAGTGTACAGTAGTGAGCAACTCTAAAAAACGCACACGTGGAAGGAGATCACTCTATGGTGAATATAACTCTGAGAGGAGAGCACAGTTGAATGACTTGAATTGAAATAAAAAATGGGACGATTCCTGTCCATGTCATATGTGCACACTAGCCTAACCAAACATCTGCAACTTTACACCATCCAGACTGCACTCTACTTGTCCCTGACAGCTGCTGAAAAAGGTTTGAATCAAAGATGAATCCGTTTTGACTGCTAAATTCTGCGTTATGTTCTGCAATGTGTACTTCCGAGGGTTAAAGTCATCGGTTCGTTTCTTGATTGCCGTTTTGGCAGTGTCCACCTGGACATTTTAGTCATATTGGCTAATTCTCCTTAATTATTGCCCTGTTTTGATCTGTTTTGCTGGAATTTTTTTTTTTTTTTTTTTTTTTTTTATCATCGTTATTTTGTTTTAAGGAGATACAAATTGTGCTTATCAACCTTAAATGACATGGTAATGAAATTATATCACATTATTTTGGCAGTAAAATTTTGGGCGGTTTTTTCTTGTAGTGGGCGGGTTTTGGTGAGCTTTTGGGCTGGAAATCACCGTCCCAATCTGGCAACACTGCTGACTCACCTGGGATTTGAAGAAGACGGTTGCAGCACACAAACCCAAGAATATTACTGAACTGGAGGCCATTGCTCATGAGGAATGGGCTAAGATTTCTCAGAAACACTGCCAGAAGCTGGTGTCTGGTTAAACATCTCGTTTGCAGCAGGTCATAACAGCAAAAGGGTGCTACTAAGTACTAAAGATGCTTGTCATGAAGGGGTTGAATAATTTTGAGATTAAGGTTTACTTCCTAGTTCTAATGTTCTTATAAATTTTGGCCATTTCGTCTAGCCCTATACATCACAATATATTTCTTAATTTCGGTTGATACAATATAATTCCAATATCGATATGAACAGTATAAAAGCCTCAGGAAAAACTGCCAAGAACGCCCACAATGAATGTCTGTACCTACAAACTTCTGAAAGATTAATTTGCCAAGTCTCTGAAACCTCCTCCTATAAAACTTTATAATATTTTAGAAATAAAAATGGTACAAATAAATTATTGTTAATATTTTATTTGTATTTAGCCTTCATACAAACAAGAAATGTGAAATCACCATCAAATAAACATAAGACTCAAATTATTAATATCTTTAACTTTAAACTATAGGCTAACATAGGTTGATTATATTATTCTTATAGATTGAAAAAAGTGCTTCAGCCAGGATAAAGAATAAGAAAAGTGCTCAGTTGCAAAAAAAAAAAAAAAAAAACTTTTTGCTGAGGGACATTTTGAGTGTTGATGACACCCTGAATTCATTCCGATTGATGAATCTGAATAGTGTTTACATGAACGCTAAACAAGTGATCGGGTCACAAGCTTTAAGCTTCAAATCGGAGATGATTTTTTGACATGCGCACACTGCACAAATAGAGTTTAACGCTGTTTGCACATAATAACTATTCTCCTACATTGATTCTTTATTTTTTTTAAACAGCAGACTTAATATTTATCAATTTCTGGTGATAATTTGGAGACAATGAACATATGAACCGTTGTGCCGCTACTTATATTTATCACGCAGTTAAAATGCCCCTCCCCGCCATAGACTGTAAAAAATAAAAATAAAAAGTGCACGCGCCCAAAACTAGTTGTCTGTGGTGGATGAGAGTCTGAAACAAGGACTGGTGGGCCGTTGTCCTGCTCCACTTCACAGATGCTGAGTGAAATGAGAATTATAGAATGACGAGACGCTCATTTATGACACTTTACTCAACATGAAAAACAGCTTGTTCGCACGTAATACATGCGCCATTTCAACGTCATTGCACATGCGCAGTCCTTTCAGTTTCGGTTTTCAATCCGATCAAGTGTTTACATGTCGTCTCGATCGTATTAGAAAAGGAATAAACCAACCACCGCTCTCTATTCGATCGAAAATTCATTTGGATCGAGCTCAATCGGATCGATTAAGGTGTGTAAATGAAGGCTTTTCAGTCCGTTCGAGCCGTCAATCCAATTACTAATGGATTATCTGGTTACATGTAAACGTAGCCCATGCCTGTAAAGTATATTGAAATATCGGAAATGTGTTCAAAAATCATATCACCGTTATTAAAAATATATATATATATATCGCGATATATACAGTATATTGATATTGAATTATTGTCCAGCCCTATTCTTATATGAATGTTTATTGCATTACTTTAGTGTCAAGTGTGTTACTATGATGGTGTTTTGTGTGTTTGTGTGAATAACACTACATGTGCACCATATTAGAATTTATCTTCTCAGCTTGTGGAAAAGCAGATCCAACTATATTTCAAAACCCAAGCCAGCTGACATTGAGTGTACAGATGGTAAAATGAAATGAGTGTTAGTATGCTGTTTGGAATCAGCTTCCAGGCAACCGCTGCGTCACAAAGGATAATCAGTGACAGCGTTTTATTCATGACACCAGCACACACCGTGCAGAGGGGTGTGTGGAGGGATACTGAAAACCCTGTTCTCTTTAAAGTCACAGATCCTTCTCAGCTGTGACAGTCATCTGCTACCGTTTAGTTCTGCCTTCCTATTCCATGAGGAAGAGAAATATAGGGGGAAGTGATGGACAGAGACTAAGAGTTTACGAAAATTACATGTAAAACCTGAAAAACAGGCCCTTCAAGGAGTATCTTATAGCTGGAAAAGATGACTAAGTTCATATGTCCACATGCCACAACAACAACAATATGAGTTAAAGCCCAGAGGAAGCTAACATTTACATTCTCTCCATTGCCGCTTTTCAAATTTACATATGTTAAAAATAGTCCCATGCACATAAAGGACATTTGTACAAGTAAAAGTCGAGCTGTGTAATTGTGAGGGACATACAATACACAGAAAGACAGAGACACAAAAGGAAGTTATGTTTTAATCGCAGTATTTTACCTAGAGTGGAGTTGCGCAGCTGATAGGCCTCAAACAGCTCCTGTAGGCTCCGGTAACGTCTGGTAAGCTCGTTCTTTTGATGGTCAAGCATGGGTTGGAGTTTAAGGTTCTGCTCAGCCAGAAGACGGTTACTAGCTAGGGTCATCTCCTTGTTCTGTTGTATTCCTTTAATCTGAGAACACACAAGGAACAAATTAATTCAATAAAAGGCGAGTACATATACATTTAAATACTCAACCATTCAAAAGTTTGGGGTCAGTACATTTTTTTTTTATAAATGTAATAATTTTATTCAGCAGGGACACATTACATTGATCAAAAGTGACAGTAAAGACTTTTACATTGTTACACAAAATATTTCACATAAATGCTATTGATGCTATTAATCAAATAATCCTGAAAATGTTATTTTTACACAAAAGTATTAAGCAGCACAACTGTTTTTAACATTGATAATAATAAGTAATGTTTCTTGAGCACCAAATCAGCATATTACAATGATTTCTGAAGGATCATGTGAGACTTAGAGACACCATAAGAGACTTATTTCAAAAACATTTAAAAACATTTTACTGAACCCAAACTTTAAACAGTAGTATAAATGAATAGACAATCAGAAAAAAACAGAAAGAGAATGTATTGTGTCATGCCTTAAAAAAAAAAAAAAAAAAAAAACGTTTGCAATGTCACTGTAGTCTGTAACAAGAGTAAATATTTTCACTTGACTGTTCATAAATCTCTCGCAGCATCATGTTGCAGCTTCAGGTGACAGAGTGAACTGTCAGGATACATTTCAAGATAAGTGTAAATAACATGGTATGTGGGCAGTGGAAAATTAAGATTAAATCTATGACCTATCCTCCATTACTTTACTTTTAAAACTCACACTCAAATTGATACGGTAAATTGGATGCCATCGTTACTGTTTTTAGTGTGTCGTCATGGAAAGGAGGGGTTTAAAGACTGAATCTTCGGACGAGTCATTTTAGAGTCTTTGAGAAATGAGGTGATGTGCAATGTATATTATGAAAAAAAATGAAGGTGTTGTGACCTTTGATGCACGTAGACCTGTTGAAGGAGACCTCCAAAGCAAAATTCGGAACCTTTAAAATAGCATAATGGGGCACTTTAAAACTTCCACTCTCAGGAAGGTTTCCCAGTAGATGTTGAAACATGGATGCATGGATTTTCTCTTATTAATACACAAGACCATCAGTGAAGTCTGACACTGAAGGTTGCAAATGGGCGTGGGGTGGGCGAAATGACCAAAATCACGATACAAGTAATTTTATTTCATGATAACTCTCAAAATATAGTTATTTTTGCTTTAAATGCCTAAATGTGGACTACTGACCCAATGCGTAAAAGAGCTTACGTGTAAAAGATACGAAAAAGTCCATACATTTACCCGCCCATAGACCCTCCCCTCAAAGAAATCAGGACAGGAATGGTTGAAAATAGACAAAAGAGATGGGATTAAAAAAAACAGGTGTAAATGGGTATGTGCCTCCCTCGTATAAATTAGTATGCATGCATATAAAAGAGATTCACCACTGAGAATCAGTTAAGAGGCTTAAAATTATTTATGCTGAAATTGATTAGAATCTGTAGGACTTTGATATTCAGGTCACTTCGCCTTAAGCCTCTACTTGTATACCGGATGTTCACAACGTCCTTACTACTGCAACAGAATGTTATGGCCCAAAAGCATGAATAAAAATAGGGGTCGGTGGCAAAGGGTAGCTAGCTGTACATCATAGAATCACAAAATACAAAACAAGTCCACAGAGAAGACATCCCATTTCCAAGAAAAAACAATACAATTGCAACATGCCACCTCTGGTGACTCAAGAAACTATGACTGACATTAGGAACATTTAACAGTATTTAACTGTCATGACTCCTCCCTTTTCAACAGGTGAACTTCTGCAGTTTCAGTTTAGGTATCATGTGTCAGAGTGCATAACAGGAAGAAGTGACAGATTTCACATGTTTCTCAAACACCTGCCTATGTCAGCTGGCAGGTTAGAAAGCATTTGTTCTTCTGAGATTTTATACAGCCTGTGCCAGGATGTCCTACATATTACATGATTGGGATAAAAATAAAATACCCAAACAAGCACTCAAAATAATATACAGTTAGAGAAACTGTTCTTTATACATCAAAGAAAGCAGAAATCATCTGTTAACATTAAGTAGATGGTGACAGATAATACTGAAACCAATTATCCGGTTAATACACCAATCCTAGCTTGTGAAATGCAAATTATTGCTCTTCACTGATTACATAATGCTCCTTTCCAAATCTGACTAAGGGAAAGTATTCATCACATTAAACTAACACAGCCTTCTAAAAGACATGTAGACCCATATATGAATCCACAGCCATTGTATTCATGTGGCAGATAATAACGTTCTACATAATATGAATTGTTACTATATTTGGCTTCTGGAGCACCATTCTAGTACTAACAGTTAAGTGAAAGCCAAGAGTTTTGTTTTTTTTAAAGAATGCTTAGGCAAGTTTTAAGAAAGATATTCATTTAAAAAGCAATAGGTAAATGATTAAGAGAGACCTTTATAAATAACTTCTTTAGCCAGGTAAATAAAAAAAAAACCTTTTATAGCACCAAGTTACAGTGTTGCCAGATCAAACATCCTCTTGTGACACATACTGAGTCAAGGTTCACATCTTCCCATGAACTGAAAGGTCAAATCAACTCAAAGCTGTGAACATGCCCAGAATACGATCTAATTGAGAATATGCAAACACACGAGTGAGCAAACTTTGAACTTACACAGAGAGTCAGAGACCTGGTACTGATACTGTGTGCATTGGCAGTGCTTATAGTATGATGTGAATACATTTATGGTTATGCATCAACAATTATAATTGAGATGACAAACTGATTAAAAATCCAATGATTATGGCAAATGGTGGAATAAAAGACACAGTGTAACATGTACTACATTGCCACAGACTTTTCCTTTATACATAAAATCACCAGGGACTTAGTTGGTTTTAAAAAGGGAACAAGCACATCATACACCTTGCCTATAAGAAACATAAAAAAAAAACATTTACTAAAGAACTGTCACTTAACGTTACTAATCCTAAAGAGAAATGAAATGCTACTACAAATAAAAACAGAAATACATATGACCAATGCCAGTAATAAATTACAAAAGAGGATCACGAGAAAATGACTTTCATCACTGATCGGAGATGGAAAACAAAGCAGAGACTCTAGAGGAAATGTATGTTCCTAACTCAATGTCGTTATTATATACGGTAGGTTGAACCGTTTCTGCTTCTGTGACAAGGTCACTTTGTCTTATTGAAAATGTTTTGTTTAACGGATGACATAACACTTTGTTATAGTCCGCGACGTCAAAAACAAACCAAATTGAAATCACGCACAGAAACGTTCAGATTTAAATAGTTCCTAGTTTAAAGACGTTGTAATTGTAAAACAAAGAATTTAAAAGTATAGAAATAAACACGGCCTACGATGCAGAACCTCTGTATAAAATGGTGCTGTTCCAGATTACAAATCAACTCGCCGCGGTAACTTCGCGACGGTCTTCACGAGAAAAATAAACTTACCTCTTCCGATTCGTCGATCAATTTGTTGAGCTTCTCGTCATCTTCGAGCAGTTCGTTTAACTGAGTTAAAGTGTAAGAACTCAACTTGTTTTCAAAGCCAGCCATGTCTGGCACAGCGGTGTCTTTCACACTTCGAACTCTCCGTCTCCTGCGGTGGGACTGGGCAAAGCTGTTATTTTCAGCCGGAAGACGACAGGAGGAGATGCGTGACGTCAACTGGCACATCAGCGCAAGGTCTCGAGAATTTGATGCGCACAAACTTTTGAAAATTATAATTACGTTTCTGATATGTCTTTACATCTGTGCAAGAGGAGTTTTATCTGTCTCTTTATCTATGAATTTGAAGAGCTCAAATTTAAAAAAACTAAAACTGAAAAAAATTAAATAAAGCTAAATAAAAATGTATAATAATGAAAAAAGCACGTAATAATATTACTAAAACTTAAAGTAAAATTCAAATGAAAGCTGAAAATATAAAAATAAAAGCTACTATAAACTATGCAATATTAACTGTGTTAGTATGTGGGACCTTTATTTAAAAAAAAACAATCTGTCCATCAATTCATTTTATTTCCATAACTACATTTAATAACATAATTAAATTATCTCAGATATTTACATTTGAAACAAATGTACAGTACATCAAGTATATCAAGTATGTATTGCTTAAAGCTTTATGCAAGGCAGTACCCCAGTCTAGTAAACATACTCTTTGACAAGCAAAATATGTGATATATCCCAAGATACGATTACATTTATAATAAAATCAATCTAGGATTAAGGCCTTCATACCAATAATTAGGTAAAGCATGTCAATTTTCTCTTAGTAGCGTGCTTCATACTCAGTGTCACTACAGTCCTCTTCGCTCTCCTTATCTCCTTCCTCCAGCACTCGAGGTGGGGCTGGCGATATTTTGTGACCATCTGCATCTATTTCACTCCCCAGGATCTGCCTCTGCACTAGCTTACAGTACAGGCCTCCCCTGGCCATAAGTTCAGCATGAGGGCCCTGCTCCACCACAGAGCCTTTGTCGATCACCAGAATGTTGTCGGCTCTCTCCACTGTGCTCAGTCTGTGGGCAATCACTAAAACCGTGTGCGCACGCATCAAGTTGTTCAGAGCCTGCTGAACCTAAAACAAAGTAGTAACATGAATGAAGTCTACTGCAAGACTAAAAATACGTATGTTCACTTGAGCCACGGCCTTTCAATATAACAGCCTCTCAAGATCAACAGCTCTTACTATGTATTCGCTTTCTGAATCCAGTGCACTTGTGGCTTCATCCAAAATGAGAATGCGAGGGTTTCTGATGAGAGCCCGAGCAATTGCAACTCTCTGTTTTTGCCCACCAGACAGCTGAGTGCCCTTCTCTCCGACCCCTATAACAGAGGGCAGAGCAGCATGATGAATTATGAGCCAAACTCTGATACAAAACATGTGTCAAATAAGTCAAAAACATCCAATCAAAAGGAAGTGTTTGAATATCTATTATAGTCATTATAGCACTGCATAAGGTATTTAAGGCAGATATGGAAGATTTTGTGTTAAATCTGAATATGGTTTAAGACACATACACTACAAGTCAAAAGTTTTGGATCGGCAAGATTTGGAATGTTTTTAAAAGAAGTCTCTTCTGCTCACCAAGGCTGCATTTATTTGATTAAAAATAAAATAAAAAACAGTAATATTGTACAATTTAAAATATATATATTTCATTGTGAATATATAGTAAAGTGTAATTTATTCCTGTGATCAAAGCTGTTTTCAGCATTTTTCCTCAGCACCATTACTCCTGTCTTCAGTGTCACATGATTCTTTAGAAATCATTCTAATATGATGATTTGATACTCAAGAAACATTTCTCATTATTATCAATGTTGAAAACAGTTATGTGCATTTTTATTTTGGGATTCTTTGATGAATAGAAAGTTCAAAAGAACAGCATTTATCTGAAATAGAAACCTTTTGTAACATTAAACACTACCGTTCAAAAGTTTGGGGTCAGTAAGAATTTTTATTTGATATTTTTGGGGAAAATAAATTAAATAAATCAATACTTTTATTCATCAACGATTGATCAAAAGTTACAGTAAAGACATTTATAATGTTACAAAATGTTCTGAATGTGACATTGAAGACTGGAGTAATGATGCTGAAAATTCAGCTTTGATCACAGGAATAAATTTCATTTTAAAATATATTAAAATAGTTGTTTTTTTATCCAATAAATGCAGCCTTGGTGAGCAGAAGAGACTAGAAAAATTTTAATATAAATATTATGATATAATATAATGGGTGTGTGTCTGTGTGTATTTATATATATATATATATATATATATATATATACACAATTACACATACATAAATGGGTGTGTGTAAACACACATAAACATCTATATAATAAATATAATAATATGTATGCACAGCACACGTTATATAAACAAAGACTTTTATGTTCGATTAATCGATTTGACAGCACTAAATATAATATAATATAATATAATATATAACTAACCAGTGTCATAGCCTCTGGAGAGGCCAGTTATGAAGTCATGTGCATTGGCATTAATGGCAGCTCTGATGACCGCCTCCATAGGAGCTTCAGGTATACCATAGGAGATATTCATCTGAACAGTGCGGGCAAACAGAACAGGCTCCTGACCCACCAGTGCCACCTATAAAAAAAACAAAGCACTAACATCTCTAATTTGCTTTTGACTAGGCCACTTCACCAACAACTGCTGCCCTCTTATGGTCATAGAATGTACTACAAGCTGCATTGAAAACAACACTATTACAGATAAATAAAAAAATATATAAATTTCTAAAATTGTATTTACAAAATAATGTATCCATTGCATTCAAAATGTAGAATGACAGATCAACCTCAGAATATATCCCACCTTAGAGTGATAATATTTGTGCTGGTAGGTGTTCACAGGTCGGCCGTCCACTAGCACTTGGCCTTGCTGAGGGGCATAAAAGTTCTCCAGCAAACACACACATGAGCTTTTTCCACCACCAGAGGGCCCTACTAGTGCAGTTACTTGCCCTGGGCGAAGACTGAAGGATACATTCTGAGAAGAAAATGTGGGTTCAGTTTCCTTCTTAGATGTATGTCTAGGAATTCTCTTACTGATTCACTAGCATATCGGTATAAAAGTAAAACAAATAAAAGTAGCATTTAAAGTAACTTGCAAAACACAATTTGCAAGGACAGTCTTTGCTGCTCCCAACTTAAGTCATCCATAGCAACCTGAGTTTAAGCGTTATGCTCAGGGGTACAATAATGATCAAATATATATCAATAATTCTGCAGTTCATAGGTTTTTTCTACTTTACATAATTTGGATGCTTAGCCTTTGTGTTTTTAGCCAAAATCATTAACATTTATCAGCCCTTACACAGTGTCCTAAATAGGTGCAATGCAATAGGATTACAGCAAAAAGCTATTTATCCATTTACACTGAATGTGACAAAGTGGCTCAACATGACACTATCACGGCCAATGAATCAGAACATATTTTATGTGGCCAGAAACCAACAAACATTTGGCTTTACATAATTCTTTTTTTTTTTTTTTTTTTTTGAATTTTAGCATTACCACATAATGCCTTGATAAGATATGGTTATCTTAACTAGTGAACATGGCAAGATATCTCCAAATAAAATATATACCTTGCACTTAAAGTCTACCTTCAACAAAGAATACCTTCAATATTTCCATCTCTGGTCGTGTTGGATATGCAAATGTCACATTTTTGAATTCCACCCGGCCTTCAAGCGTCTCTGGAGCTTCTTGACCATCAAGGCCATCTTTAGGTTTCCTGTCAATATATTCAAACACTTTCTCGGCAGCGCCAACGCCTTGCATCAGACCTGTGTACACCGATGATATACTCTGTAAAAAGACCAGAGTGTTTCAGATTCATCATTTGAGTTTCATTCACACGTGTACATTTTAAAAGTAAAATCAAAGTACCTCCAGGGCCTCTCCAAGCTCTAGCTCATAGATGACAAAGGAAATAAGGGTCCCTCCGCTCATCTGATTTGTCACCACTAGGTGGCCTCCATAAAATAGGACTGCGACTTGTAAGGCCAGCTCAGAGATCTAAAGAAATGAAGAAAGAAGAAAGATTGAAAACTAGTGTAAATGTGGACTTGAACCTCTAAAATACTTTAAGCCCTGGTTTCACAGAAAGGGCTTAGACTAAGCCAGGATTAGGTCTTAGTTCAATTAGGGCATTTGAGTAGCTTTTATAACACGCCCTAGAAAAGAAAAAAAACATTACTGGTATGAATCTTGAGACAAAACAAAGGCACTGACATATTTTAAGATATGTCAGTGCAAGTTGCTTTCTGTAAAAACAGCTCAAACATGCATTTTAGTCTGGGACTAGGATTAAGTCTTGTCTGTGAAACCGGGGGTATATGTGGCAAAAATTTAGACTAACTGTGAAGCAAAGGGAGAAGCCATGGGAAATAAATTATGCTGCAAAAAGCAACGGGAAATAAATGATGCTGCCTTCACGTGCTATCTGAAATTTCCTACGTCCCACTTCTAAAGTTGTGATTACGATCTCGTCGCATTCAAGTGCTTTGTTGTCGGAAAGAACAGGAATCATGAAGGACGCCAGTTACTGTACATAAGCCACTGAGTTAAGACTGTGTCTGACCAATTAGCAATTATTAAGAGCTAATCATCCTTACTTTCCGGATTCAAATTAGTCCAGTCTATCCTTTTATGTAACTGACTTTAAAAAGTTACGACCAGTCTTGAAGAATTTAAATAGATGACTAACTTGTAAGACTAGTATTATTATCAGTTTCTGCAAATGGCCACAGGTTTATTCTTTATTGAGAAAATCTTATTAAAGCCAAAATGATATTTAGCGTCCCATTCATTGACAACCATATAAACATTCACAGTGCTATCTAGATAGTCAGTTTGCTGACCATTCTGGAACTTCGGTCAAATACAGGCTATTTTGTGTATAAAACATACAATACGCTTCAAATGATTATTCATATTTGTAAATATGCACTACATTGACGGGAAGACAAGGCTAATAAAGATTACCATTCACAGCAGCAACCATGTTTAAAGATTATGGCACGCCCAACTCGGGAACTTGGGTATCAAAATTATCCTCAAACTTCCCAGTGGTAGCTAAA